AGATCTACACATGTTTTATGGGATTTCCTTAGCAGTTCTTACGGTCAAACAGGTTCGCACTTATGTTTTTCCGACCCATGTTACGGTCAAACATGTCGACATTTACGTTTTTCCTTATAGTTTCTCTTAGTTACGAGAAGGATGCGTACCTGTATAAATATGGGTTACCACCCATCTCGCTTAAAACAATCAAGGACAAGAACTACTACCAATCTACCTTCATACAAAACTCCTCCTCGCTTAGTGTGCCTGCAATATACTCTTTCTATTGCATTGTATTTTCGCACAAAGTTACTAAGATAGTGCCGTACTGTACACATTTAATCCGATATTCACATATAGGGAACTCCTTGGCATTGTAACCCTCTGTAAATAGCTTGCTGTAGATAGATTTGGAAGTCATCAGAGAGAAATAAACTTGATCAAGATCAGATATTCACAGGGGAAATACAGTGGTAGCAAGGGAACCTTACTCGAGATACAGAGTCCTGAAATTGGTAGGATCTAATTGTGAAATCAGAAGTGCAGTGTCAGGAGTTGCCAGTGAGGTGGAGGCTCCCCCGGGAGATGTAGACCAAGTCTAGATGTCAAAGGATGGGATGATGTAAACCAGACAGGGGGACACCGGGTATCAAAACACTGTATCGCCATCCTGAGACAAGAAGATACGCTAATCCCTTATGACAGGATGGAGAAAGAAGGTGTGAATGCGGGTATTGACAATAGAATGAAATGTGGAAGGTGAGTTGGAACGGCATCAGGCCGGCCAGATGTGGAAGGCGTTGCAGATGACAGAATAAACTGGCGGTTGAAATGCAGGACGTAGCGGCTCCGGCTGGCCGTGGCAATGCAAGACCAGACCCACAGGATACACGGGATCCAGGGGAAAAATACCTTGCATCCGGACCCCGCGCCCGCATAGCTGAGGCAGGATTTATTTTCGCTGTTGAGCTATTATTATTATGTTATATCTGATGTTTAATCTATTCGCTAGCTATTTTCATAACATTGTCGGTTGAGTGTTAAAAACCTGAATTTGAAAAGGATTGCAGGTACTGGTATAAAGATTTCACAAAGCCCTGAAGGGAAAAGCTTTCCTGTTTGCTACTAGTAAATGGTGGTGCCGAATTGGAAACTGTTGCTACAGGTCCATCCATTTCATACTGGAACAGTCCAAAATGCACCCAGTGCAACTGAACAGAGCCTTAATGAACTTGAATTATTTCCGCAATTGTTAAAGCGGATGGATATAATAAGGAGGAAATAGAACAAGGACCAACTCCAAGGTACTGTACAGGTTTACATTCAAAGATCAGAATATAACCATCAAATTCTGTATAGTGACTGGTTCCCGGTCGCCGCTCACATCCTATCAACTGGTATCTTTCTCCTGAACCTGCCAAGGCTGTGGCTTGTGGCCACAATGTCAGGCTATTTATGAGCTTACAACCTACTATAGTAAAGATACTGCTAGCAACCTACAGTACAGCTTTCAGGTTCAAATTGGCTTGTAGCTCAATACAACTGTTTCTGACTTAGCTTGATGGGTCCATATAATATTGTTCTTAAATATGATAGCATAAGTGTAATGTTGTCAAAACTCAGGTGTTCATTCATTTTTTCTAACCTCAAGTACATATTAATACCTCTAACTGTAAGCTTTACTAGCTTTATTTAATAACCTTCAATATTATAATTTTTTTCATATATTGTCCTCTACTCCTGCAGGGGCTTTTGCTAAGCTCCTTCAATCCTTGGATATTTCTACCTCATGCCTGGGAAATGAAGCTGTAGGTTGTAAAGGTTTTATAGGAGGAATTGAGTAGCTGGTATATAATATCAGAAATAGTATCTTATCTTGCATAGCAAGAGATTGAGGGGTTTGTAGATATGTTTAGAATTTAGCTGAAAAGAAAGTCTCTCAGTTTTAGTTGTAGTGCTTAGACTCTACCTTAAGACCAATAGGTAATAAATATAATATTATATACTTCACTCTTTACTGTTGTTTCTTTCTAGCTATAGAGATAGATTCCAATTGAATAGCAATGTTTTGTTGAGATGCCAATAGCCTTTAGCAAGCTGCAAGGCCGGATTGAGTCAGAATGGAATGGTGAGCCCCAAACGGTTATCCTGAGCCAGCTGTCTGGTTCAGCTGGCGGGCACTCTCTGGACTGCCATAGGTTGCAAGCAAGCCAGTAGCCGCTGGGCGTATCGGCAGGCCGCAACCTTGGGAGTGGGACGAGCACAGGCCTGCTTTGCACCGCTTGGATGAAAGGTGTCACGTAACTTAACCTGAGTCATGGGCTCGAGGCTTCTTTCCCTAGTCCCCTTCCCATTCTGGTCACCATTGGGGGGTTATCAGGAGAGCGCGTTGGGAGGTGTGTTCTGTGGATTTTAACATCAGTACCCAGAACTAAGCCCGGGAGCTCTGGATAGTGTAGCATATAATAGTGCCAAATATTAACCCTCAAAATGGTGCAGCGGTGGCTTACTTGCTAACAGGCCAGTTGTCCGTATATATTTATGTCACTATTATATCTGCGGTCCTAGTGCTCTAACGGTGATATCAACATTTCCCCAGGCTCTCCAGCGGAGCCGCTCCAATCTCCATAATCCCGATTGTGGACATTGTGGTTGATCGTAGCGGCGTAGTCCTTTAACCCAAGGGCGGGGTAACCTCAGACCTGTTTTGCGGGTACTATGTAACGGCATTGAGTTTGCCTGATATGAGCTGGGCAAATTCTGCCGAATATGTCTTGCAATCCGTCTTGTGCCGTCGCCCGGGGATACCTCTTGTGATTAAGCACCTCACATCTCGGTCAAGTGGGAGGCCAAGACGGGTTTATATACTTGAGAGGAAAATATACGTTCTCAGAGTGCCCAAGCCAAACCTCAGTTCCATTTAGACATCGGTTGTGGTCCCTTTTCGCGTAATTTACCCGTGCGTGGTGTTTTCAACAGGACATTTATGAATTCTTTTCTTTGAAAGCACTCCTGGGAAATTGTTAGTGATTGTGATAGGATGGACCTAAGGTTGTCTGAACCCAGCGGGGATTTTGTGCTACCTGGTACCTCTGTAGCGGAGCTCCAGCTATTCTGATGAGGGTGATCAAATGCAAGGGTGAAAGTGCCGAAGATAATGTTGGGAATCACAGGTACTCACTTCCACAGTTCTTTGGTGATATACCGGTGCTTAGGCTCAGAATTTCACACAGCCTAAATTTTCGCTACGAGTCGTCCGCATCTGGCGTAGTATTGGGTTTCAAAAATTAGAAGGAAGGAGGTTACGTGATTGCATGATACGGGTCGGTATTAAGTGGCGGATTCCAGCGATGCTCAGTGCATCAGGTGTATTTGTGGGACAAGTTGGGTCACAGAGGGCAGGACTATAGGGGACAGTTGGGAGGCTGGAATAGCCAAGAGCTCTTGAGATCCTATTTGGAGTGTGTATCAGAGAAATAGATCACTTTCTACAACCCCTCCGACCACATGGATGTTGAAAATTACCGGCGCTCATGAAATCCTGCATTGGTTGTTCTTGGATAGTGGTACAGAGGTTTCACACTAGCAGAAATTTCCCTGCTAGTATTTCTAGTTGTATTCTAGGTTTCAGTGGTGTAACGGACGGAAGGTACAGGGGGATATGATATGATACTGGGTGTTCGGAAGGCTTCAGTCCTGCTTGGTTAAGTTGGAGGACCTCGGAACAGCTGATCGAGAATACCCGGGCACCTCAGATAAAAGATTGTCGGACATTGGAAACTCTTGTGTGAGTGGATCGGAAATGGATTGTTCTATACAAACCCCCTCTTGCCCATCCATAGAAGATGTAGGCGAGCACAAGACACAATCTATCTCATCGAATCTATTCTTTCCTCAAACATTTATCCCCCTCCTCATCCATACCAAGAGTCTTATAGCAACAATAGAGAGACGAGTGGGGGGAAGAACAAAATTTTCCATCAAATACCTCGATTCCCCTGATTGTACTCCAAGCAATTCCCTTATATCCTTTCTGGCGAATCCCGCGGAATATATTGTGTGAAAATGGAAACCGATAGGCATCCGCAGCGGAAGACTGGAGTCTAAAATTCACCCAGGCCCGTTTCAAACTAGTTGTGTGCGAGGTTCCCTAGCAGTATTTGTAGAGGAGATGCTTTAAAGTTATTATTTGTTGCCCAATTCTTGGCAGTTGCGGGAGCTATATTGTTCAATCAGTTAGAGACTAGTTGGATAGAGTAGGAGGGGGATCTTGGGAAATCCTAATACCGACGGATTGAGACTCTGTCCCCGTGCCTTGCGTTGCCCCCTGAGCGGGGAGATGAATTGCAAAGATGTCGATCGAGTCTGTCCTCATTGTTGCTCATGTCGGATTAGGCACTTTCACAGTTGCATACACTGCGGCAGAGGTCGTAGATCACCATCCGGCGGGTGCCGTAGGGAGTGCGCTTGAACTAGTGGGCGCCCTGTCACCAGTTGTAGGCACGGGAACTGTCGAGAGGCATGGGGTTTTTCTTGACAGAATATGGAATCAATAACACGAGTATGACTTATTTCCCCGAAGACAATTTGTAATTTTGAAGGGCCTCATACTGTGCATATCTTGGAGCGGCAGTGACAGCCCGGATAACATGATTTAGTAGGAGATTCTGGGAGGGCGTTGGAGGTCTCAAATAAAATTCATAAGTTGATATCTCCCACCCTGCATCATTGTTCAAAGGCCAGTCGCTCCCGTACCTCGGGCCACCTCAGTTCCTGAAAACATAGAGCCTCATGTTCTCCTGGGGTGTGCCGGGTGTGCAGGGGTACAAAAATTTGGGAACAGGGATGATAAACGGTCACGCGCCTGTGGCAAACTTGCCCTGCCGTTCCCCTTCCTCTTCCTTTATCCTGCCCTGCTTCTCATCTTTTTCTCCTGCCCACCCTCCTTAACCCTCCCACTCCCATTCACAACCTGACTGCCATTTTTCTCACCATACTCATTAACTACCCCCTTTCTCAACCCGCATCAAATTAAAACTTTCTCCCCGCACAAAAGCTTCACGTTCGTTCAGTCCTCCCCTTCTCCTGTCGGTGGGAAGTTAGCTAATTCTCCATGTAATCTGTTCCTATTCACTTTCATTCAGATTACTCTCACTAACCTACGACCCATCATGACTGCAATCTTGTCCGTTCACGTTGCTCTCCTGGTGGCTGGGACCACCCTTTTCGGTTGGAACTTGGTAAGGGCTCCCGCTCCATTAGTATTGGGAATTTTGTCTAACTCTGTTTATACCCTAGGCCGAATTGAACGCCCCCCAGAAAGCAATTCAGGGTGACTTGCACCTCAATGCGGCCCAATTCGGTAAGCTGACAGAATCCTTACTTGTCAAACTCTATGTTGCAATCTGCCGGTTGTGTTTTCCTTCCCGTGAACTGTCCTGTGGCACTGCAAATATTATGCCGTATCAGCCCACCGGCTGAAAGCCGCAGGACCTAGCCCTCTGTTCCTCCTCCAGAGTGCCAGCCGCTTTGGTCAGGTCTTTCCGTGCCGGGTCCATTCCTCTTGCTAACTATCCCATTCACCTAGGTCTTGCCTCTAGTATTCTAGCCATCGGAGGCCTATTGGGTTCTATCATCACCACCCCCGGCATGAACGCTCTAGGGCGTAAAAAGATTCTTGTCATTGCCGCTATGTTTTTCACGATCGGAGGAATTCTTAAGGCCGCAGCGGGAGGTCCCGTGGCACTCACTGCTGGGAGATTCCTCAGTGGGATCGGTGCTGGTTCTGCAGCGGTTGTTGTTCCCATTTACATCAACGAGCTTGCACCACCATCTTCCCGAGGTGCCTTGTAAGTCACTCACTCCGGTTTCTAGCATTGGCTAATTATTGCAGTGGTTCCCTCACTCAAATCTCGATTAATTTCGGTATCCTGTCCAGTCAGGTTATGGGAATTTTTTTGGGTCAGTTACAATTCCCCATGTTGCTGTTCCCTTAATTCTAATCGGATTTGTTACTATGATGCAGAAGAAGAGGGACAATGGCGCCTTATTCTCCTTGTTGGGGCTGTAGTTGGTTGTGTGCAGGGAGTTGGTCTGCTGTTTCTTGCAGAGTCCCCGGCATCCTTGGCGGCTTCCGGAAATTTGGAACAAGCTAGGCGTGAGCTTATTAAGATTCGGGGGACCACGGATGTGGAGGAGGAACTCGCCGGATATCAAATCCCACAAGCTGGTATATTCTTTTCATTCTCCCCACAGCAGGCATCTGTCTATTTAGCAAGGATACTAATGTTGAGTGGTTAGGGAATACCGAGGGGACTGAAACAGAGCGTGCAGATGGAGTGGAACCTCTCATTGCGGCCGAGGCTGGTACGTCCCTATCCCAATTGCCTGCCACAGCTGTCACTTTTTTTTTAACTCTGATACTCATCGCCCGTGACCAGGTCAATCCGCGGGAACTGAGGATACCCAGGCAGTTGATGAAAATACTCCTCTGGTCGAGGACGGAACGACTACCAACCCTGCGAGTAACCAGATTGGGCTTCTAGAATTTGTGACCAAACGCCAATTCCGTCTTGGTTTCATGATTGTTGCTGGCTTAATGTTGGCACAACAGCTTACGGGTTCGTGACACCCTACTGTTTAGATCATGTTGACTAGATTGTTATTTTTGGCTAAAAATCTGGATTTACTCACTATCAGGAATTAATGCGGTTGTGTTCTATGGCGTCTCAATCCTCGAGGATCTCTTCCCCAATTCTGCTAAGTACCTCAATGCGGCAATCTCGGCAGTCAACTTGCTTGTCACGTTGGGGGCATCATTCTTGTTTGACACCATGAGCCACACCACTTTGCTCCTAAGGTCTATACTTATGATGGCGTGCTCCTCGGCTCTCTTGGCTGTGGGTATCTGGTTCAAGCTTGCCACCCTGTCTGCAATTTCAACCTTATCTTTTGTCTCGGGCTTTTCCATGGGCTTGGGCCCTCTTCCTTGGATGGTGGCCTCTCAACGGATAGAACCTAACGGTGTCGGTGCTGCACAATCAAGCGCCCTAATTGCTAATTGGATTGGCACTTTCGTTGTCAGCTTTGCCGTTCCGGTTATCGCTCATGCTGCTGGAATGCACGCTGTTTTCATCTCCTTTGCGATCCTGGGCGCTGCTTTCTACTGGTGGGGCTTTTACTACTTGTAGTGTGACCTCGCGGGATATGGTAGGATCGGCGGACCTTTGCAGACATTGTATCTTGTCTCTCTTATGGCTTCTTTGTGCTTTTTTACTGGAGGACAGTGCATCGGGATTCCAGTGAAAAGAAAAGAAATTGCAATTTTTTCCCACGTTATTTACAATGCTAGGTGTTTCTTTCTCCTCTGGGCGCTTTCTCCACATGTGGTATGACTTTGTCACATATCCTGAACTTCGTGGCCATTTTCAGATGCCCTGTTTCATCTCTCCTCTCACTGATTTCTTTTTTTTGTTCTGGGACAATACAAGGAGATACCTGTGATTAACTTCTTTTTCACGACATCTTTCTAGCTATCTTTACCCCCAAATGTCGATACTCCGTAATATCACGGAGAATGAAATTGTTTCATGAAAATCAACCTCTACGTTTACCACTTTCATCTTCCAGAGAACCTCCCTTCTTGGGTGACACGCTGCAACACATGGGACAGGAGAGGGAGGCAACTTGAATACATAACCTACGACGTCTATAATGGGCTAACCGGCGTTGAAGCCCAAAACCAGTGTTGCCAACCGGGTTGAAACCAGACATCCTATGAAGTCAAGATGCTCGTCAGGGACAATGTTGCAACCATTTCTGAGGCCGTCCACGGTATAATATGCTGTCCCCCGCAGTCCATGGGATTCGCCTATCATCCGCGGGAGCCGCCCTTACCAACACTGCTTCACCCTGTAGGGCCCGCCGCGCTACCTAAAGACGGCTGCCCTCCACCTTCACCGCCCAAGATGCCCGGGTACACCGCCCAAAGCTGCATCTCTTGCACTGAAGGTCCCACTATCGCTGAGGTGCCGGAGAGATTGCACCAGAATGCATTTTCTTCTCCTTGGTCAGTCTCTAGTGCAGCTACCAAATACTGGTACCGCAAAAACTACCAAACTCGCTATGCAGGGAGGAGAATTTTGGCACTAATGTGTGGCGATACAGCCAAGATCGTCCCATTGACCTACCTATTTTCTCTTAGCTGATGAGACCAGCATCATTATTACTGTATTTCATGTAGGAACCGGCACCGATACAGCTATTCTCAGGTGTTATTGTTATTTTCCGTCATTTCTCAGTGTAAAAAAGCTCCTATCCAATCCCTAGCGCCAATACCTGCATAGCGAGTTTGGCGAGTTTTTGCAGTACTCCAGAAAGTGATATCACAGATCTTATAATACCCTCATAGGGCCCTGTTACCTATCATATAGCCCAACAATCTTGCAAACATCTCTGCACCCCCCGTTCCACAGGCGGTGCTCCGTATCTAACTCGATGCTTTATTTCCGTCTTGGTGACAAGAAGGTATACAGGTTCGGTGGTTCTAGGATAACATATTTAATTTCGAATCCGTGGTCAGGCGGACCTTCCCGATCCCCTCTTTCAGCGGAAGCTTATATAAAGTATTCAACTAAAGGAACACGTTCCATTACGAAGCCAGTTCCTGTTCCCTAGAATGATAAGATACCGTATCAGCAGCCTACCCAGTTGCTTAGAATGAGCTCCAGAATTAGTACAATATGGGTACAGTAGTTGGGGTAACATTTCGGTTTTGAAAGAAAATTGGCGGGAGGTGATTTTTCACCATAGGTTTCAGAAATCGGAAGGAGGGGAGATAGGGAGAGAGCCTCAGCTTTATATATCAGGATCTCACATGCATCACAAATGAGGGGTCGGGGTATAGCGCAAATGACTTAAAAGTGGAACCTCAAAACTGGCCAAATCCGAGCTTTCATAAGTAGACAATAACAACAAATTTTAAGGAAAAAAAACCGGGAGACAATCTCACTTCCCAGCAGAATAGTTCTTGGGTTTTTTTCATATAATTAAGTGTTTCAAGCTTGTGGTATTAATGATTAAAAAGTGGAAATTTTGGCGAGAGTGAAACAAGTGACACCTTAAGAACTCGAATAATTGAACCACGCGCTAGAACGTTCAGAATTCCCTCTCCTGGATAGGGGGCCGAGAGCACAGCGAAAACCGACTCCCCGAGCCCCTGCTTGAGATAAAAGAAAAGTAAAAAACACCGCACCATACCAGTAGAGGCAACACCGATGCCCTAGCTCCAGGTTCAATTATTCGAGTTCTTACGGTAGGAGTGTGCTGAAATATGCTGTAGAGTGGATCTGAGCAGGGTCGAGTAAAAGACTATGGGCTGAAGACGAAAGGCTAGCATAAGGTTATGGAACAGTTATTTCAGGTTAACTTGTGAAATTTATTCTTTTCTATCTTGGTTAAGGAGTTCCTATCCTTATACCCTATTTCTATGCTTTATTCAGGGTATAGAACTTGGTATTTCTTGTCATTACCCGGATCGGTTGGAAGGGGTTTCACCGGAATTCCTGTTTCATCAGAGGTCCCGCCTTTAGATGCTTCGCACCATAGAACTGGTATTCCCCGAAATGCGGCCGCTGAATGACAAATGCAACCACTTGCCAGTAACGAAGCGGTTACTACTATCATATGTGTAATGTGCCAAAAGAAGGCATAAATCAATCCCTAGTAACTAGTGAAATAGTAATTCTAGGTTTGGAAAGTTACATTGCACAAATTGAAGAGAGCCAGTACTGGTGTGACATACAGCGGCCTTTACTCATGTTACCGCCACCGCTCTGCAATTTCCTATCACAGAATCGCTCATCCTTGGATACTGGTACTTTCGCCACGACAATCAATGAAACGTTCAATGTTGTGTCAATGGCGAAATGGCAAAGGACAGGTTAAAACAAGACTATGGCTCTGGTTACAGGTACTTGTAGTATATGCGCCTGAGTATGCTAGTGTGCATAAAGGAAACAGGGACTCACTCCTGCATGCCAATTTAATTCCAAAATTACTGCCATTCTTCAGACTAGAATACATAGCCATATGGCATCTCAAACTCTGCCCGTTGTGTAGACTATGGCTCATTGGTCTGGCTGTTTCCTACTTGTCCTAAGGCTGAAGCGGTCCCGGTCCTCCACGTCCTGAGCTTTCTTTCTCTCTAGGAATCAAATTTCGCTCTTCAAAATATCTCATCAGCTCAAATATCCAAGAACGAGGGATTCTATAATAGGAACTAGCAGGGCAATCCATCAAGATGAGTACTATGAGATCGTCGCACCGTTCCACAGCGCGGGAGGGGAAGTATGCTGATTTCTGCAGAGTTTTGACCACTCCTGTGTCACCATGCCATCATATCCAATTAATTAGGTTTCTTTACTTTTCCTAATGAGCTCTTCTGAGATGGAACGGGTATATTGTTTCGTTATGTGAACTCCGAATTTTTCATTATAAATATAGGGGAGATTTGCTTGGTTTTGCGCTTGTTGAGCGAAAACTTGAGATGCAAACCTTGGAGTAACTGATATTGGCCTCTTCGGCATGATCCCCCTATCGACATAGTCAACTGAATAACACATTTTGCGATATACCTCTTGCAAGGCCTTGCGTGGAGAGTCCGAACCGCCGCGGTAAACGGGGGATCGGTTGCGGCTCCCGCTTCAGTTGGACACGCAACGATTCATCACGTTCATTTCGAACCCCTGGCAGTGCCGCCGTCTCAAACTCGAAAGATAATGGAACAGTATGTTCACGCCCCCTGTAGTACCTGGGCGGTTTGCAAAAAAAAATGAAAAAAAGGTACTAATCCGCTTCTGTTGCTAGAAGGCTCGAAGCAGGTATCAACGGAGCATCCAGCGGCAAGAGCAATATAAACAGAAATGTAGGCTACGCGAAAAAGACTAGCAACCTCGTAACACCTCCAGGATCAGTGTTTGAACACAGCACCCAAGGTATATCCGGTGTTCCCTGGAGAGTTCCGACACAGAGCAAACGTGGTACTGTAACTGTAAGACCCAACTGCGCCTTACAGGATAATTCCCTATACCAGGAACCGAAGGTTCAATGGCCGTGAGTACCTCATTAACTCGGTAAAGAGGCTTCGAGAGGCAATGGCCGCAGCCGGATCGCCGTTCATGGATCAGGCGGTTCCGGGTATGTAGTAATTAATTTGATGTCGGAAGGGTCCACTAACATTGTTCAGAAAAAGGGAGATCGCCCTCGAATATGTGTATCAGCGCGCGGGTGAGAGCGATTGTAATATTTTCTAGGTGCAGCGAGATGCAGTGAATTTGGAGTGTCCCGCAGATCAGTTCATCTGATAGATGATCGGTTTATTCCTCTTTTCCCATCCACGAGGATTCTGGGTGGGCTGTCGCCCGCCCAATATTTTCTCTCAGGTATCTCTCCAGCTCTCTTTGGGCGGGTCATACTAGAAAATTGTCCACAGTTATGGCTCATGTTCTTAAGTTGGTATGGTGCATTGCCCTAAAAGATTGCATCGTGCTAGGTGCAACACTAAACGTGCAACCCTGTATGCAACTAGCATTATACCCTAAATCCTGTCTCTTTAGAAAAGAATTGGCTTTTGTTAACAATATTTATACATAATTAATAGCATATTATCCTCTATATGTATTAATCATGAGTCTATCATATGATATGAACCGTTATACACCCGATTCCTACCCATTTTGTTGTGATCAAACAAGAAAAAATGGACCAAAATTCTGCCCTCAATACCAGTTTCCAATCCTCATCTTTACTCGTGCCAACGTTGTGGCTGCGCCACAACCTTGGCACGAGTAATGTCACCTGGTGTATGTGAAATTAATATGCTTTTGGCGGTATGAGATTGCTGTTCATAAGGGCTAATTCTTTTTCCTAAAGATGCAGGGTTTAGGGTACAGTACTGTACTGATTGCATACAGGGTTGAGCGTTCAGTGTTGCACCTCGCACGATGCACGCTGCAAGGGCAATGCACTAGATACCCAAAATTAGGTCCTAGTAACCTCTAGTTGCCTCTTAAAACCTAACGCCTCATAGGTTCCCTCATTAGCTGGTATATCATACAAGGTTACCGCCTTCCGTGGCTCCTTCTTTCCACCCGCCCTCCCTTCCGTCACTCCGACCCCAACCAACATTTTCCACTCTACCGATCGGCACAACACACCCCAGCAGCTGTCCAGACAAATTTCTAGGGATCTCCGACGACGAAATGTCTAAAACTCTCTCTGCTCGTAACCAAGCCCTTGATGCCCTAGAACTAATGGCTAACCTTCTATGCACATCGCACCCCCATGCACTATTTGTGATAGACCCCGCCTCAGGCAAGACTGTAGAAGGGTACAGCATGGGTGTGGAGTGCGGCAATGATAACATCATTTGGACTGTTAAGATGGGAGAAGACTGTCGCTTTAGAAGCCTCATGCGCGCCCGCAGGGTGGCCATTCCTAGCTGTACGTTAACCAGGGCTCTTTTCCACAATACCGGTATCGCTCAGTAGCTTATGAGATAATGCATGGATAGATAACCCTAGGATAGCCGCTGAAGCCGAGTTTCAAATTGACAAAGTCTGGCGCGGGCAAGTTTGCGATGAACTTCTAGCTCTCCATACCCTCGGAAAGCTAAAGCGGAACTGGTGGGAATATCCACTGGTTCTCAAGACTGATAGGGGCAGTCGGTATGTTTCTCGGTCTACTCCGCTCTCTGTTGTTTCAACTGCACTTTTCATGCTTGAATAACGTTAACTAGATAAAACAGTAGTCCAACTCATCGGGGATCTCCTCATGATAACCAACGACCTGAGGTGGGAGCTGTCAAGCCAAAGCAGGGTGGGCCGCGGGGAGTTATTTACATTGCCTGCTCTCCTCGTACTACTGCGCATTCTTCTGATGTTGCTTGGGAGTTCTCTGATGCTACATCGGCCTTTGCGGGTGCTAAGAGTGAGGAAGGTGACGGTGAAGGCGAGGGAGATCGCGAAATTGCCGACAACGGAATCGGTAGGGAGGGGGCAGAGTGCTATGCGGATGATGAGGGTGAAGATGGGGAATACGATGAGGATGGAGATGAAGACGATGACGAACCCCTGATTGAGTTGTGAAATGGGGCACAAAATTCTAATTCCAGCTTAGGCGTGCTGGTAGCCGGAACAACGGGGTATGGAAGGCACTGCTTCACATCACTGATACCATCGATGCCGCTAACACGGAATTCTCCAGCCACTCTCTCTCCCTCTAGAGTTTGTACCTAACTTAGGTAGTACAATGACGGTTGCCCTTTAACCAAACAGCTTCCTCGCTGGCTGTTTCTGCTATTTCCTGACATTTTCATTTGTAAAGCTTGATTTCTTTACCTGTATTCTCACCCAATTCACGGCCAATTCAGAAAATGGATACTTAGTGGAACATGGTAGTTTCAAACATTCAGACCGCGTTAGCAGGGTCTGAGTATTCCATGGGTTAGAAGCAGACATGTGATCCATGTTCATGAGATTTATTCCTTGAGCTACTTCTGGGTCCTACGCATCCACCAAACCTCCCCGCCTTGAGGAAAGGGACAGAGGGGCTCGGGATGATATTTCGAATCACCGGCAATTGCACATTAGTGCCCTGGAGTCCGGGCCCCAATGCCCGCACCAGATATATGTAGAAACTACCCGCGGTCAATAACTAGTAACTATTGGGAAAGGGGGCAGCTCAGGTCTGGACCTGAATTAGCCAAAACACCACAAGGATTTGAATCCTAGAAATATCAATATATGCCCAACAACAAGGGGAAAGATGATTCAAAAGGGAGGGATTGCTGCTAGGAGAGCAGATTCGTAGTCCCTTTTATGCTCAGAACTAGGAGCTACGATATTTGCGGAAACTCTTTCGGGGGTATTTCATGGAATTCACACCCAAAATAATTAACTCCCCGGGCTCAACCTCTTCACAACCTGATACTCTAGTCTATTGTCTAATATATGTCCAGAAGACCAACAGAAATGGCGCTAGCACAATAGGTTATCCTGTTTGGTTCTTGTTGAAGTTCACCAAGGTCCCCAATAGAAATATGTTACTGCAATGATTACTGGGTGGTGGTTTCGGAAACCTAGTTGGAGGTGCATTAGTTTTTTTGGAGATTGTCAGAGATTTGTGAAGGGTGTATTGTTTACAAGCAAGAGTAGTGAGAGTGTTTGGAGAGTTTCAGCCAGGAGGATAGTGGGACGATGTCTGGTCTAAGATTAACGTTTATGAGGGCTAAGACTTGCAGGTGTCATACAATGATGAATAGGAAACACAGAAGAAACTATACAAGTGTTAGAACCATCTGAGGAAATGGGTTGGATGGAAGGCTAGAGGACTTGACCGAGTTGAATGGTGGAAACTATATCAGAAGAAGTTGGAAGACAATAGTGTGGACATATTGGAACAAGATCAGAAGTGGAAAGTGGTCCAAGTCGAGGCTGTGTATATATAGTACACCTCCAGCGATGTAAAAACGAGAAGAACTACAATACACTCTCATCTGAACATAGTCTAAATTTATTATTAGTTCTGGTGTGAAATTTCTACTCCTATATATTTGTATCAAATAAGGATAAATTTCTCCTGTGGTGGCCACTGATGTTAACTGTTTATATCCCTAGCACAGCTATTCAGAGCCGGTCTATCCCTCCAAGTATGTCCCCTGCCCAGACAACCCTTTCAGTTTGTTCACCAGGTTTGTCAAATTAAGATATGAATTTTCTTCTCATGATACTATATATGCATCTGAGGTTCTAGTGCCATAGCCAACTATTGTAAATAGGCTATGTTTGAATGAGAGTTTCTTGTAGTCTTCGTACTTTTGAACCTTCTGGAGGTGTCCTATAAATACACAACTTTCTATTGTAGCTAAAGAAAATCTCTTCCATGTTTCTCCCATGTCCTTTCCTTCATCCAATGCCATAGTCTGCTACCATACTTCCAACATCCACTGATATTGCCTCTACACAATCAGTAATACTCAACTGCTCAATACTGTTCCATCCTGTATCGCAGTAACTCAATCATGAGACTCACTTGTATCTGTAGGTTACAAACTAAATGAAAAAAAAAATGTTTAATCCTTAGTGTTCAACACTAGTTCTATACACTTCTCCAAACTAAACATGTTTCATCTTACTTCCTTCCTGATAGACTCTGTTTTATATCTCACACAGGTTTCCCATTCCTCTGACATTGTTAAAACCAAGTACTACTTATCTAACACAATTCTATCCTATCTTCATCATGATGTCCACATACCAGAGAGTCTAGTAAGCTTCATGAATAACAACAGCAAGTGAGTACAATATGGCAAGTTCAGGGAACCCCAAACTACATCACGACAGACTCATCAACTCTATAGCCAGAGCGTTGATTTTTCCTTGAGCAAAAAGGCTGACCAGTTGAGGTCCAAGGAAGAAAAACACAGGTGGTAGGTAGAAAGGATAAACCAGAAACTGGTTCTCACATACTTCATGCTTGTAACTCATGCAAAAGATCATCGCATTTTGTTCATAGTACATTTTCTTTATGCTGCATTTATGTCTCAGGTTTTACACATTATGTATTGTAGGGTGGTATCATGTTGGAAATTTCTGAGAGGATTTTAGTGTTTCCACAACTTTTCCATTGTGTAGGGAGGAGAAAGAACTTTGATTAACTTTTTTACCTCATAAGCAGTGTTTGCAGAAATTGTTATCAGGTGTGGGAAGAGAATGGCTGCATGGGAGTGGTAGGGCTGGTTCGATCTCTTTTATTGATAAAACTCCTTTTGTATTTTTTAGGTAAACCTTCATGTCCCTGATGAACCAAGTAGAATAGGTCACAATGACAACATAGAATATACACTTTGTCTTTCTTTCAATTTTATGATCCTGCTTGACCTCATATCAGCAACCCATGACACTACATGTGATGGATGATCGCCGTGTAAGCAGCAGTTAAGCCCAGCCAGGCAGGAACAACGGCTGATGCCAGAACCGAACCTATAGCGAATACTATCAAGTCAAACCACCACTTCCCCTCCATTTGCCCGCCAAAGTCTTGATCCACCTGCATAACCAAAGCTATGGTGGGAAAGTCTGGACCACTTTCAGCAGAGTCCAGACCTGATTTAACAATTTATAATTGTAGTGGACCCCCTTTTAGGCCGCGGACAGTCCATTGAGCAGTGATCCCAAGCAGCCAGTCTGGACCATAGTCCAGACTACAGGTTAGTAGTCCGGTCAGTCCGGCCTTAGTTTTGAAAAGCCTGGGCTAGTCCGGTCAAAATTCTCTGCTGCCGCCAAAGCCCAGTGGCCCCGAGGCAATGGCCGGGTCAAGTCTTGGCGCAACCTAGGTTAGAGCCGCCAGATGCCTAGGGAAAGCCGCCAGATGCCCAGGTAATCTGAAGATGCCAACGGACAGCCTGCAGGCTTTCCACTTTTAATCGCTTGGAACGAGATATCAAGAGCAACATGCCCCTGATGCTATAGATCTCACTTAAGGTCAATGTATGACATCGAGTGATGAACCCTCACTGTACCCAAATATGCTGTCCTGCCTCGAGGAACCATACTATCCTTCGCACAACTCCCTGGCCACCATGGGTGGATAGGTATTCTCCTCATGAAATAGTTAGTCCTGTTGAATAATGAAATATTTCTTAGTAATGAAACACATGTGATGCCTTGAAAAATGAGCCTGCGGGTAGCCCAAGCCAGGCCTGGCTTTGGTTTGGAAAAGCCACTTTCCCACAGTCCGGCCGTACTCAAAGCCGGACGGACTGGCCGCCTGAGATCACTGCCATTGAGCAGGCATCCAGGAGCAGTGAAGTTAAGATACTTTTACAGGACGTACTTCTCAAAGAGGGTATTATCATATCAGAATGTCTTCTGGTCCTTGTATTTTCTACCCTTCGCGGGGTGTCCTATATATACACAATTCATCTATTGAGAAAAACAAAACTTCCTGGTTTAAAGCAAATTTCTTCCACTCCCTTCTTCATTCCTAGCATCTCAGGTTCAATTCCAGCCAATGAATTCACAAGGCCATTTCTCGCAGGACTTGTTGGTGCATTTGTTTATCTCTTTCACAACTTGCGTAGTCAAACACCAGTCTGTATCATCCTGTATCTATCAACCCCAACGATTAATGTTCTTAGCTAGCTGACCAATGTTCTAAAATGCGCTATGGCGATCCCCCTGGGCTAACTAGATCCCCTATCTATTTCAAAACAAATCACAGTTCTTCTCCGACAATCACCAAATACCAAGCCACTGACTTGGTGCCTTAATTCTCTCCAAAGGGAGAGTTTTACTGCTGGCCCTTCTGCCTAACCGCGCACGTATTGTAAATTACAGCCACTCGAAGTAACGATGATACGCCTACGCCAGTGGGCAATTGAGATTACGGGGTATTGGGGAAGGCTTGTGAGCTAGTGTTGATTTCCTATTTGTAATGCTCATGAGGATTTTATAAGTGTTTTACTTGCTTACAGGGGTAGAAGGCTCTGGAGCTGGTGAAGTCCACCTAACATGGAGCAAGCATGAGAGGAAAGAAAATAGTAACATACAGGGAGACAAGGAGGAAGGCGATTGGCTAATAAAAGAAGGGTAGAGAGAAGATAAAAATACCGTGAAGAAATAGCAAGAAAAGCAAGAAGAAACAGCAAGAAGAGGGGTAAGAGCGGGGTTGTAGGTATCATGTTTAGAGCCATTCAGGAATTCTCTTGTATTGTCAAAAGATATCAGAGCATCAGGTGGTAATGTCAAATCCCTAGATGTGACACAAGACCTAGATGTAACACAGGGTAGAACGTGCCAAATTTAGGTATCACTAGCAACAGTAACCCTGCATTACATTGCCATAGGAAATGCCCACCTGCCTACAGCCAATGGTGCCGGCAGAGAGGATCACCAGAGATTGTGGGACGGAGATCCAACCAGCGATTATAGCAAGGAAAGCTGGACAGGAGCCAAATGTGCCGGCTCTGAGTAAGTCCTATGAGGTAAATCGGCAAACTCTTTACCACAGCCTTGCTGGTACTACTCTAAGCCATACCGAGGCCCATTAAGAGTAGCAGCAGCTCACCCCACCAGAGGAAGAGGCTATTATCAAGTGGTGCTTCACCCAAGATGATATAGGCTTTCTGCTATGGTTGGATATCATTAAAGACATGGCTCTACCTCTGGAGTTAAAGCGTAACAGAATACCCCCACCTCTGATCGGCCACAACTGGATATCACACTTCTTGAGAAGACATTCTGGCCTAGCCCTCAAGCTTAGTCAGCAGCTTGAGTGCCAGCAACCATACACCAATGATTATATTATCCTACAAAATTGTTTTACTAAGCTTAGTCAGTTAATCCGAGCATATGATTTATGGCCATTGGCGATCTTTAACATAGATGAAAAAGGCTTCCTCATGGGACTGGGAGCTAGAGCAAAGGTTTTGTACCGGTGG